GAGAAATATTTTTTTTCTCCTTTTATTTTCTAGTAAAGAATGGTAAGGGAATGAGGAAGAGAAGAGACGGGAGGAAACATTTATATGAGACCACCCACTGATGGTTGCCTCTCACAGGCACCCCAACTAGAGGCAGGGATTGGACCTGTAACCCTTGACCAGAAATCGAACCCTTGACCCTCCAGTGTGCTGGCTGACACTCTAGCTACTGAGCCACACTGGCCAAGACAGGGTTTCTTTTTATTACAGTAAAATATATGTAAATTTTACTGTTTTAGGCACTTGTAATTATGTATGAATGGCATTAAGTGTAGTCATGTGTTGTGCGTGGAGGGGGGTGGTTTTGAAAAGGCAGATGTCCCTGGATTTAGGAGTAGGCCTTAGGTCCCAGCCAGAAGGCAGGTGGGGCTGAGGTCAAGACAGCTGCTAGAAAGGCCTGGAGGGCTACAGCTCCGCCCTGCACACCTGGCCTCTAGTTAATCCAGGACCAGGTGGTCTGAGCCCTTGTGCTGGGAGGACGGGATCCAGGCTGTGCCCAGCTCTTACAACCCTAGAGCAGAAGGTACCCACCCACCCGCCCCTGGCACACCCCAAGCCCTTGAGTTCTCATGGATTCCAAGCACTCGCCAAGCTCTTGGGTGCCAGGAGAGCAGCGAACAGTGGCCTTGCCCTCTGAGTGGGCACAGAGGAGGTTAGACTGATGGGGACAATGCACAACATGGCACAGGCATGAGGGTGCTCCAACCCCTAATGCTCACCTGGGGTCTCAGCAGAGAGGAGTTCCCAGGTGGAAGCTCTGGGGGAATGGCACAGAGGGTGCCAAGAGGAGGCCACCCATGTACCGTGAGGGGGCTTAGCCCAGAGGGGACCCACTCCACCATGAGCCCCCTCACTCTAAAAATAAAAAAATGTGGGAACTACTTGTTTGCAGAGAAGAAGCAGGGATGCAGGTCAGGGCCATTGCAGTCCCTGAGGAGAAGTGGGTAGGCAAAGCCAACAGATACGGATCCTCCAGGTCGTGGTAGGTTCCAGGCCCCTTAGGTTTACCCTCGTTACTGTACTTTTAGGGACTCCCCTGCATACACCTTGTTTCTGGTCAGTGGAGGAAGACATGGTCATAAGCACCTACTGTGGGTTGTGGGGTCTCCTAACCCTGCATAGAGGCCCCAGGCTGTCCTGGGGAAGGGACCCTGCAGCTAGGGTAAGCAGGGCTTCTGGGGCTGCCCTCCCTACTCACACTGGGGATCTCTGGCCAGGCTCAGGCTACAATCTGAGGAAGGAAGGGCTGGAGAAACTGCTAGCCCTGAATCCTGCATGGGAGCTCATAGGATCCAGAGCAGAGCAGAGCCTGACCTTGGGGTGCACCCTCCCTGGCTTTCACCAGCAGGTCCTGGATCCTCACGGCATCATGTGGAAATGTGGGTATCCTCTCTCGGCTGCTCAGTAGCTGGTGCCCTTGGGTCTGGGAGCTGGGGGAGCTTCCTAGAGGAGGTGGTGCCCTGCCATAGTTCAGGCAAGTGGGGAAGGGATATGCAGGGGAAGTGCCTCGCCTGGGAAGAGGATGGTGGCCACAGTGGGGTTTGGGATCTGTGGAGATGGAGTGGCTCTCAGACTTGATAGTGTCTGAATTATTAGAGGACTTGTTAAAACAGGTTGCTCTTCCCTTTCCTTCCCTGCATCTGCCAGCTTCCCTCCTGCCTTTGTCCCTTTGCCCATGTCTCCCTGCCTGCCTGACTTCCACACTGAGCATCGGGGCTGCCCTCCCAAGGAGGTTGTGCCATCCTCACAGTCCAGGAGGGGAGCAGTGGTAAGGGGATTTCTCCCACCATGACTGGGGCCACCTTTTATTTTTGAGATATAATCAACAAATAACTTATTTTTATGTGTACAACATAATGACTTGACACTTTTAAGTTGCTATATGTCACAATAAGCCTAGTTAACATCCATCACCACACAGTCAGAAAAATTTTTTGTGATCAGAACTTTTTTTTAAATATATTTTTATTGGTTTCAGAGAGGAAGGGAGAGGAAGAGAGCAAGAAACATCAATGATGAGAGAGAATCATTGATTGGCTGCCTCCTGCACGCCCCACACTGGGGATCGAGCCCACAACCCCGGCATGTGCCCTGACCGGGAATCAAACTGTGACCTCCTGGTTCATAGGTCGACGCTCCACCACGGAGCCACACCAGCCGGGCTGTGATCAGAACTTTTAAACTCTACTGTCAGCAACTTTTAAATGTAGAATACAGTATCCTATCTAATAATAGAGAAACATGGTAATTAGCCGTACCTCCGCTACCCTTCCCATTGGCTAATCAGGGTGATATGCAAATTAACTGCCAACCAAGATGGCAGCCGGCAGCCAGGCAGCTTGAAGCGAACAGGAGGCTTGCTTGCTTCAGTGACGGAGGAAGCCAACGTTCCCCGCCTGCCTTGCCGGCCTCTGAGCTTGCAGTTTAAGAAACATTGTTACAAATATAGAAGCTAAACAAAACCCCAGAAACCTGCTTTCAGCCAGCAGGACCGCAACATTGTTTCAATCATAGAACAAACGCAGATCCCTGCTTTCAGCCAGCCGGGATCTCAGAGCTGGAGTGAGCAGGACCGCAACAGTGTTAACAATTATAGAACCCAAACAAACCAGATACCTGCTTTCAGCAGCCGAGGCCTCAGAGCTGGAGCCAAGCCTCAGAGCTAAAGCTGGCCCAGAATAAAAAAAAAAAAAAAGACAGGTTGGGAGCTTCAGTCACCCGCCAGCCTGAAAACGGCCCTCAGCCCCTCACCCAGACTGGCCAGGCACCCCAGGGGGGACCCCCACCCTGAAGAGGGTGTGACCAGCTGCAAACAGCCATCATCCTCTCATCCAGGCTGGCCAGGCACCCCAGTGGGACCCCCACCCTGATCCAGGACACCCTTCAGGGCAAACCAGCCGGCCCCCACCCGTGCACCAGGCCTCTATCCTATATAGTAAAAGGGTAATATGCCTCCCAGCACCGGAATCAGCGGAGCAGCGAGGCCTCCCGGCACCGGGATCAGCGTGACGGGGCAGCGACCAAACCCCCTGATCGCCCTGCAGCTCTGTGTGTGATGGGGCGGGGCCACAACCTCCCTATCCACCCTGCTCTGTTCGTGACAGGGGAAGGCACCCCAACCCCCTGATCAGCCCTGCTCTGTGCCTGATAGGGGGGAGCTCCCCAACTCCCTGATCGCCTTGCGGCTCTGTGTGTGACAGGGTGCGGCGCCCCAACCCCCTGATCGGCCCTGCTCTGTGTGTGACAGGGTGCGGCGCCCCAACCCCCTCCCCCCCCCACGGGCCCTGCTCTGTGTGTGACGGGGTAGAGCCATAACCTCCCCATCAGCCCTACCCTGAGTGTGACAGTGGCGGCGCCCCAACCCCCTGGTCCGCTCTGCTCTGTGTGTGACAGGGGGCGGTGCCCCAACTCCCCTATTGGCCCTACTCTGTGAGTGACAGGGGGGAGCTCCTCAACCCTCTGATCGGCCCTGCTCTGTCAGTGACAGGGGGGAACTCCCCAACCCCCTGATGGGCCCTGCTCTGTGCGTGACAGGGTACGGAGCCCCAACCCCCCTGATGGGCCCTGCTCTGTGGGTGACAGGGGGCAGCGCCCCAACCCCCCTGATCGGCCCTGCTCTGTGCATGACAGGGGGTGGCGCCGAAACCTCCCTATCGACCCTGCCTTGAGTGTGACAGGGGGCGGTGCCCCAACCCCCCAATCGGCCCTACCCTGAGCGTGAC